TTACAAAGAACAAAATGGATTAATTAAAAGACGGGTAGACACTCAATATAATCAAAACAACGCTAACCAAATATAGTAAAGCAATAATAAAAAAATTGGTACATGAAACAAACAATCAAAAGCTACAAAACAAAAAGAAAAAGAGGATGAGGAAAGAGGGAGGAATTAGTTGAGAAGATTCAAGAGACAGAGGGCAAAGACTTTTTTTTTTCTCATAATTTAAATTTATAAAGCATGGCAATGGGCAATGATTGGTCCACAATTAACTTCATTTTTCTCTGTGTTTCTTTAGGGTTAGGCTTAATTTAGTCATATAGATATAGCATAGGAACCCAATTTGAAAATTAAAGTTAATATATATAGCGTGTGATTCGTAAAAATTCTCTTTATTGTTCTTCGTATCACACGAGACTGTAATACTTATTCTCTCTATTCACACCATAAATTTTACTTTCTAAATGTTATTAAATTTCGCGTGATTTTTAAATATCGTAGACATTGACTTGCAATAAAACGACGACTCTTAGCAAAGGTTAGTGTAGTATGTATTTCTCTCATTAATTAATGTTTAGCTGCCCCTGAGAAAAAATATAAATGTAGTAGTATTATTGTTGGTACTTTACTTTCAATTTTATAATAAGTTTGTATTTATTCCACTTATAATTTTATAGAAACTTTTGTTGTATAAATGAATAGAAAAAATGAAATTGTAAATTCATCGGCTAACCATTTCTAGAAATTAAAATGTAATATAAAAATGTGAATTTCATCGATGAATTCAAATATATAATGGCACGTGTTTTCAAAACTAGGGATTAATTAACTCATATAGTTTGGGATAAATTAATTAATCCATGTGGTTAAATATAAGCTTTGTTTTATTTAACTTTTGATTCTACAAGTCTAACGTGTGGGTCAAACACTTTATTGATGAGTATTAATCAAGTAGTTTTAACAAGATGAATTATACTAGAAAATTTTAAATTTGTGTCACGTATGTAATTCAATTATGTCGAGAATTAGTTTTTCTTTTCTTTCTAGGTTCCGTAATTACGGAGTGGAAGATTGAACCATCGATTTTAAGAATATGTTAGGTACTTTATCCATCCACGACATATTGAAAATGATTTACATAAATCTATATTTAACTTAATTAATATATGACTTGAGATGTGTGTAACAAGCTCAACTTAGGCTTATATGTGAAATCAATATTTTCTTTTATATCTATAGTTTTGATTTCACAATTCCATGACATGCAGGCTAAAACTTGTGACCCAAATATTTTAGTATAACTAATTATTTTTATAGAAAATGAGGATGACAAAGATTAGGAATACAAATATTTTTTAACCTTATATTCCGTTAATAAATCAATTTTAACCTTAATCTTTCCCATTAACCTTAAGAAGTATATAATAATTTTTGAATATTCAATGACACTAAACTATTTTCCCTAGTTTGTATGGAAAGTTACTTAATTGGTTAGCACTCATATGACCGTTGGACCAATAAAATTTGATAGTTCATTAATTTTTTAAAAAAATGGAAAAAATATCTCTTTTTCAGTATTTCTATTTCTTATTAATAGAAAAATCTAGTGGAGGTTAATCATCACAACTGTTGTTGTGTCCTATCCTAATGTTATCGCTATCAATCCATAAAACTCTTTCATTTGACCATTAAATATTTGAAAAAAAAAAACTAAAATATTTCACATCAATACTCTTTTATATTTCATGTGTCACCCAAATAGATGGGTAGGTGAGCTCTAATTTTGTAGAGGTTTTAATAATAGAGAGATGGGGAAATTGGGCATTATTTTGAGGCCAACTTTAAAAATTAGTTAGCTTTGGTTCCTAACTTCACAATTATTTTGCTATAATATTTAAATTGGCAATTAACCTATATATATATATTTGGCTAGGTTATTATTAATATCTAGGTTCACTTAAAATGAGGCCTAAATAGCAACGTAAGTCGAGCTACTCGGGTCAAACCATTCGACCAAACTTGATCCAATCTGGTCGGTTCACCCAAACCAACTCTAGAAAATTCCCTCCATAAATAAGATGAGAGGTCTGGGTGCAAAATATTTTCTACAACTCTACCTTTTGTTGTTCAACTAAAGTCTAACTTAAGTTTCTGTGTTGGACTTAACATCACATTTGTGTGAAGACGTTGTAACCTAAATTCAAATCTTATATCAAATTTATTTTATTCAGTGAGCTATATTGAAATTGAGATGAGTCACCTATTTCTTATTAATAATATATTTAGTAAACAACTAAATCTCACTCGTACTTTTTATTCTAAGTTATAATGATAAAATCATCCAAAGTATTTAAACCAAAAAATATATTTTAACTATAAAAGAAAAAAAAAAGATAAAAGTTCAGAGATCAAGACCACATATGGAGAATTCCCCGTGTTGTCTTTTAGGTAAAAAGTTTGGCATAGAAATTAGAGAAATTTACATGGGGAAGATTTTTAAAACATTAAAAAATAAAATAATAATAAAAATAAAATAAAAGTTTTCAAACAAATATCACGTTAAAAGTACTTTAAGCAGAAGCGCCAACTTACACACTTTCTCATGTGTGATTTTTTCAAAAAGCTTAATTTAATAAAATAAGAAATGAAAAATTAAAATAGGAATTTCGTTATTTAATTATTATTTGTTTCTCTTTAAATATAATAAAACTATTATTCATCTAATATTTATTTATTTTTCTTTAAATATACGTTATTATATTATGAGGCTGCAAACAATTGACTTTGGATGCAGGTCCCGACTGTTTGAAAAAGAAAATCAATTTCATTTATTTATTAATTTGTTTTCTTTTTCTTTTTTCTTTTTGGTGTGAATTTTGCCGACAAAATAGTGAGGTTGGATCATTGGCAGCTTCTTGTTTTTATTTTTGTAAAATTGTTTTTTTACCGTTTACTTAAGTTAATTTTTTCTCATAAACTTTTAGTTTTGTTAAACTGAATTTAATATTTAAATAGTTTACAAAATTAATATATTCAAATACAATATTTAGTTACCAGTTATTAGTTTATAAAGTTGATTGTGGTTTGATTTTGATGGTTTTATTAATTAAATTTCGTGTGATTTATCCGGTTGTTGACTGTTTAATAGTTTTATGATTTAATTTTAGAGATGTGTCCGTTTTATTTAGTTCAATTTCAAATTGAGTACAGAAAACGTCCGTGCCTTTATAAATGGACTATTTTAATCTTTATTTACAAAATTATATACACAATAAAAAAAAGAAATATCAAAATATACATTTTTTAAATAGAGAGATCAAATAGATATTTAAAAAATACAAAGATAAATCAGAGGATGATAACAATATTTAAAGAAAAAAAAATAATTTGAATCCTTCTTCATTTTTGTTTAATGAATATTTCCACGTAGTTACAATAAATTATGAACATGGAATTTGTTGCACCATGAATTCAATATGAAAAACAAATTTCCACAGGATCGTTTTAATTAAAGTCAAGTCAAAATTCAACACGCTATTAGTATTTACCCCAATAAAAAATTTTGCATTCAAAAAAAGAAATTTTGGTTTTTTTTTATTTTTTTTAAGGAAGTTGTAGAAAAGAAAATGAGAGAAATTAGGAGCCTAATTTTCAGCAGTTTTGCTCTTGCTCCAAAAGAAAAGAAACAAAATTAGAAATTAAAATTCCCAAAACCAAAACAAACAAATCTACAGATTCTCCCCTCCCTTAATTATTATTTATCAAAATTAAATACTGACTCAGTCCCCTCGAATTTCTCTTTTCTCTCTCTCCTAATTTTATTATTTATTTATTTTTGTTTTTAATTAATTATTTATATTTTGAGTCCAACCAAAAGGGTGAGTCTGAAATCTCTGACTCCGATAGTTTAGTCACCAAATCTGCATGTGTACGTTCTTGCTTACCGCGTCTCCTACGATCCCTTTTTTCTTTATTCAAACCAACCCAGCAAAAAAAAAAAAATATATATATATATATATATATATATAAATATATATTTATTTGGTTTCAAAATCTCGAAATTTTAGTAAGTAAGAAGTTTTGATTTTTATTACTGTAATAGTTAAGTTTTCATGGTTTAGAAATTTCATTAAATTTTGACAAGATTTCACCTGAGTATAAGAGTGTTCAAATCTTACCATTTTCAAATCATAGGGATTGAATTGATATATGTCAAAGTTTATAAATTAAAGCATTACAAATTCGAAAGTATTAAAGTTTAAGAAATAAACTATTGAGGTGAACGGTAATATTGTGGTATTTTTCCAACTTAGTTCTTGTATTTTTTAGGAGACTTAATTTAGTTTCTTATACTTTAACGTTTCTTTAATTGAGTCATTCCTTATTGGTAAGCGTTGGAATCGATTAATGATAAACTTATATGGTACAATATCTAGTGAATTGACAAAAATTTAAAGGAAAAGAAAACGTCTAGAGATAAAGTTTCTAATATTTCTTCTAATTTCTAAAAATTTGATAGAAATTTTTAGTTTTCTATACAATAAGGACGGAGAGAATTGAATCTCTAACTTTTGAAGAAGAAATAAGGGCGAGAATTAAAATTTCTAARACCACGACAACTAAGTTTAAAAAGAAGATAAACTAAAACATTTATATTGAAACTAAATTGTTAGTAGGGAGCAAACAAAAAAATAAGAGGGTGAAAAAAGGAAGTGAGGAGAGAGAGAATAGGTAGAGAGAGAAAGTAGTATCCAAGGATGTTCCCTGTCCCCAACCCCCCTATTAAAACTCTCTCTCTCTCTCTCTCTCTCTTAATTTTATTTATTTATTTTTATTTTTTCAATTTTCTCTGTTTCCTTGTCAACCTCTTCGGTTACTTTACTTCCCAAAAAAAGATTTTTACCTAAAACAAAGCAATAAAATTGAATCACATCTTTTTCCAACGCATGGCTCTATTAACACCCCATATATATATATTCAAATAATGCTCCCTCTCACCACTCCCATTCCCCATCTTCTCCATCTCAAAATCCAAATCCAATTTCTCCTTCTTAATCCCAACCCACTTCTTATTTTCCATCCCTCTATAAAGGGTTGCTCTCAGATTCTTCTGGCTCGCCGGAATCCATGGCGGTTCACGCTCAGTTATACCCGGAAAACCTTGGCTTCCCCTTCGCCGCCGCCGCCGCCTCGCCGGACTGGCTCGTCGACTACGGCTGCGGCGCTGCCACCGCCACCGGACAGTTCTCCTTCAATCTCCAACAGAAACCGCAGCTGCTCAACCAACCCCAGTGCCTCCCCGGCGACGGCTCCGTCGTCTCCCTCTCCAAGAACCCTCACCGGCCGGCGGCGTTTTCTCAATGCATTACTGCCCACGTCGAGAAACAGAGACAAGAGATTGACCATTACATCAGATTACAGGTTAAATCACAATTTTTGGCCCAAATCTTTTCTGGGTTACCTTTTCTTTATTTTGGGTGATTGAATCTCAACTTCATAATTTCTCTGTTTCAGAATGAGAGTTTGAGAATGGCGCTGCGGGAGCAAGGGAAGCAACAGGCTGCGACATTACTGAGGAAAATAGAATTGAAAACAGCGATAATGCTACGGCATAAGGAGGAAGAAATTGCCCAAGCTGCGAAAAAAACAATGGAACTCGAAATTTTCCTGAGAAAATTAGAAACAGAGAATCAGCTGTGGCAGAGAATCGCCCAAGAAAACGAAGCCATGGCGATTTCGCTCAACAACAGATTAGATCAAATGAGAGAAGAAAGAGTCTCCAATAGCTTCGAAGACGCCGAATCCTGCTGCGACATCAACGTAGAAAACTCCACCGCCGTGGCCGGCGGAGATTGTGAAGCTCCGGCGAGAAACAGAGCAAACAGAGGATGCTCTGTTTCAGAACAGGGGAGGAATAAAATGATTTGCAGAGGCTGTAATTGCCGGAATTCGACTGTGATTTTCTTGCCTTGCCGGCATCTCTGTTCATGTAAAAACTGCGAATCGGTTCTAGATTCATGCCCAGTTTGCGAAACGCAGAAGAAAGCCACAATAGAGGCTTTGATTTTCTAGGCAAAATTGAAGAACCCTGAATTTTCTTTTCCGGGGAAGTGGAGGAAAATCAGAAACAAAGTGGTGGTGGGTAATGATGGTGATGATCAGAGATCCCATGTCAATAGAATGCACTGTTCTTCAATTTCTTCTCTTTTTTTCTTTTTATCTTAATTTTCTGATTTTGGATTGAAAAATTGTACTTTGAAACTACCAAAATGAAGTGGACAGATTATTACAGGACAGAGCATCTTTTTCTTTTCCAAATCGTGGGATTTTTTTGAAAAAAAAAAAAGTTTTTGCCTTTTTTCATGAACAAAATTCTTGGGTTTTGGAGATTGATTTGATTATGTTTATGGATGGCAGTATTTTTAGCAACCCATTTTGGGCTTTCTTTGTCAGAAATTAATTTGCAATTTGACAGAAAGAGACTGTCAGATTGTTTCAGTGATCTGTTTGGCTGCTTTTGTTTATATAATTGGTATATTCTCTCCTTCAATTTAATTCATGTCAGATTAATTATTTTTTCTAAAAAAATAATATATAATATATTATTTTGTTCTGATATGTCATCATTTTAATCAATCAATCCAATTGATTTGACCAATTTAGATTGCTGGACGTGTTTGAATATTTGTTTTGGTGTGTAGATAATTTGGTTGCCAAATTTTATTTTGATTCTCTTACTCTTATTTAATTATTTTCTTTAATTAAATAATCTTACAATGTTTAATTTTGAATCCCATGAGATTCGTCATTTACTGACCTGTATTTTTTGAAAATACGTCTTTTTTATAACAAAAATTAACAGCATGATTTAATTGTTAGATTTATGAAATTAGAAAGATTGACCGTATTTACTTTCTAGATTCTATATTTGTGGTGTAATATTTTTACTCAAATATTTGTATCTAACATTTTCTTTTAGTCTAATGAATTCTTAAATCCATATCTGATGTGAATAATAAACATTTACTAGCAAGTTCAGAAATCCAAAGTGATATATACAAAATTTAATAAAAATAAATAAATAGGCCTATGTAAACTTTAAGTCTATTATTTTTTTCATAGAAAAAAAAAACACCGAACTACGTCATTTTTTACCAAACAATTTAATTCTTTATTTAATATACTTTTTTAATTTTTCTTAACTTTTTTTATTCTAAATATTATAGCACATAGGGTTCTCCCCCTTCCCCACATTACTTAATTCTCTCTCTTTTTAACATTATTGCGATTCTTTTCCCTCTTAAAGTATCTCATTTTCCTTTTCCTTTTTTTTATTTATTTCAAATGTAAATTTAAAATCTTCAAAGATTTTGTATTACACAGAGAATTATTATTATCAATGAATCCTCTATTTATTTACTCAAGGACAATAGTGTAAAGCACTCACTAATAAACATTTGCTGATGTAATTAATTTGATTCAACATTAAATGAGAAAATAATGATGTGGAAAAATGGTGGGTCCCACCACCACCACAATTTTAAATATTAAATTTCTTGGTGATGTAGTGTGTTTAGTCATATTTTGCGCAAATTAATGATGATCCACCAACCACATGCCCATATTTGATCAGTTGGATCACCATCCAAACATGAAGAAAAAAATAAAAAAAATAAAAAATGGAAATTTTTTAATTAATTAAAATTAGGATTTAACCAAACAACGTCTTAATTACATGAATCTCCAATAAATTTATTTATGGGATTAAAATGGGAGAGAAAAAAAAAAGAAGATAATTTTGGAAAATAGCGTTGAGTTGAATTGAATTTGAGGGCCGGATATTATTCCGATATGTCGTCCTAGAAATCTGGTGCTTCGCACCCACCGTACACCTCTTTGATTTGGCGAGTATTAATGATACGTGGCGAGCTGTGATTGGTTTGATCTCAGCACGCGGTCCTGATTTGAACTTTATATTTCGTGATTCCTCTGCCCGTTCCACTCTTCCGGAATCGTGGGACCCCCTCAGCTCCAAATTACGAGACGAAATAAACCACACACGTTTTTTATTTTTATTTTTTAATTTTCCCCTTTAAGAATTAAATTAAATGACTTTTTTCTCATTTAAATATTTCAATAAATGTTTAAATATTATTGTAAAAAATATATATATACTATTTTGATCGGGATATTTTGGAAAGTAAATATACTCAAATAAACAAACATATTTAAATTTATAAATGTAAAGAATCAATGTTATAATATTTTTTAAGTAGGTAAAAAATCTCATCAAGTATAATAACGATGAAATTTAATAAATTTTAATAGAATCATAGAAGGATATTAATGAAAAAGAAATTGAGGGTGGTGTGAGGCAAAATATTCATCACGTAGGAAATGGAAATAAAACAAAAAAAAATTGAAATATATATAATGGAAAAATTAATAGTGATAAAAGGGAAAATGGAAAAAGGAAAACATAGAGACGTGAGTTTGAAGATAAGGTTTGAATGCAATGGAATGGAAGAAGATTG